TGGTCACTTCATGTGTTTGATATCATTTGATGAGTGAAATGCAATTTCACACTTGACTGAAATTTGAAACTGAAATTTCACACTTGATTGACTCTCTAGGGTTGGCAGTGCTTCGCTTATCACTAATCCTATTTTTTTTTATTTGAGTCTACTTTAATAGAATAGATATTTACATGGCTTTACATAATTTTTAAAAAATTATTTTTTCATAAACTTATTTGATTTGAATTTATTATTCAAAAGTAATAAAAAGTGCTAAATAATTGAGAAGCTGTACTCATCCCTATTGGACTCTATTGTAATTCAATACCCATAGAGAACATGTAATCTATAAAACGTGATATCAGTAGCAAAATAACATATTTATCGCTTACAACTACGCAAAGTAGCCAATCATAACTTATTTATAGCTCGTAATTCATTAGTTGTTGAAGTAATTGAAATAATTTTTTTGTCTTCACTTAAAAATCCCTAATAAGTGGTCACATAATGTGTTTGCATTTCATCGATGAGTCACACGTGGTCTGGCGTTAGCAAGCTCGTAATTCATTAGTTGTTGAAGTAATTGAAATAATTTTTTTGTCTTCACTTAAAAATCCCTAATAAGTGGTCACATAATGTGTTTGCATTTCATCGATGAGTCACACGTGGTCTGGCGTTAGCAGTGCTCTCCTAAAGTTATCTCTTAATCTCATCAACTATTTTACGTAAAATTACGTTTACATTTGGAGTTGTAATACTATATTGTATTGATGTGTGTATTGATTACCGAACCAATCATTTGTGTAGTTTAATGCAAAGGAAGTGATTCAGTATTGATATAACATTTCATAAAGATCTCAATTGAACATTGAATGTCAGTCTGAACCGAAACAACAGTACTGTACGCGAAAAGAGTGTAACAAAAGCACCAAAATATGGTCAAGTGGTTCATAGTGTTAGCGTTGATAGGGTTGGCTCGCGGGGGAGTCATTGGTGATGTGGTGGACGGGATATCGGACGCGTTTTGTATCCCTCTGTCGATTCCCGGAGCGCTTAAATGTGGGGTCATTTTCGCCGATGAAATGAAGGCGTCGGAGATTGAACTCCACAAAGACTACAAACAATACGGCTATTGTTGCGCTTTCACACACTTAAGGGATTGTGTGACACAACAGGTGAGCACTCATTGTGGCGATTATACGACCGGCACTTTCGACAAAGTGTTTGGCGCTGTCCTCAAGACTGTCAAAGTGTTGGACACCTCTGCCGACGAGTGCAGTCTCTTTGATGGCATTGTCGGCACATTCCTGTGTCAGCCAAGTATGACATTATGTTTTTCACTACATTTTTAACCACAATTCTTTATAAAATATGTTACCCCCGATTTTATTCGTGACAAATGTTAAGTTTATTAATTATTATTAACACGGGGTTAATTTTATCATGTAAGTTAATTGTATGGGTGCTCAATCACTAGCGGCTAATTGACTTAATTTCTAAAGCAACTGAACTGTGGTTAACTCTTTTTCATTGAAACATAACTCATAAATATAACATTTTGCCCAAATTGTCTCAATAGTAGGGCTATTGGTTGCGGAAGTGGTTGTTTTGGTGCTACTGTTTTTGGTGGGCTTTTGGTCAGTCATCCGATGCTGTTGTTCGCCATCACGTAATCGACACCGAAGTTATGCGACGGCAGTCCTCTTACCCTCACATAACAGGACCGCCTATAAGTAAATCTGGTCTTACAGTACATGTCATTTATATCTGTTGTCGACATTTCGTGATTTATATGCACTTTATTATTATTATTTCAATTAGCATTTAGTTACAGATATACTCCAAGAAACGCATATCTCTTAAATATATTAATATTAAATACCAAAATATTTTGTAATGTTTAAATTTAAATAAAATTATGATATAATTACTTATAAATAATTTCAAAAATAAATTAGTATCATATGATTGCTAATGAAATATTCAATTAGGATTTGTTTCAGTGAATTCATTGAATTGAAGACCAAATTAATAAAACAGCTCACAATTGAGGCAATAAACCAATCGATCAAAACTATACTATAAGACAGTGTAATTCAAAGTTATGTAATGATAAAAATGATTTAATATTTTGTAATTAAATAAAAATTTAATGTAATAACAGAATACACGTATGAATAGGTGTTTCAAATGGTATATTGTGACCGATTTTTGGGCTCATATTAAAGCCTTATAGTTGAGAGAATGCATCCAAATATACATTTATTTATAATTCAAATAATCGGATGATTTATAAGATTTTAATTGAGATCCGATTATAAGCAGCACTTTCTGATAAGTATTACAAAATTCAATCGTTAATTAATTGTTTTTATCGTTTGGTTTGTGAATCGGGGTTAAGATTTATATTGTATTTATTGTTTGAATAGAGACTCTANAATTGTTTTTATCGTTTGGTTTGTGAATCGGGGTTAAGATTTATATTGTATTTATTGTTTGAATAGAGACTCTAATGAGGCTTACAGTTAGACATCACTCTTGTCTGAAGATTTATAAAAGTTTTATAATAACTGACGTCAAGTTATATATTAAATACATTTAATTATTTATATCGATTATTGTCTCGAAAAGATTGGCATTTGTTTTAAAGTCATGTAAAATATAATATCCAAATATATTTCATTAGTATTTTTAAAATAGCTTCTTATTTCAAATAAGTTATTTGTGATTGAATTCCTATAATACAAATCGATATAATCATTATTTTATTAATTATATGGCATATAAACAACAAAATGAAATGTTTTTATTATATATTTGATTTGCTTATAATCCGGAAGAGTATGTTTTGTCACTCAAATAACTTTAACTAAATAATGTTATTATGAAATAGTAATATACATAATAAATATGATTCCTAACGATAGGAAACAATAATTACATAAATATCACTTAAGTTAATACATAATTTCAAATAAAAGTAATTATTGTAGAATGAATTTAGACATCACTGAAATGTATGTTTTCTGTCATAAACAGGTAATTATTTGATATTTTATGATATATTTCTATTGCATAAAAGATTTATGACTAGAAAATAAGGGTTTCTGTGTTTCCTCCAAACGAATCAATTAATTGTATAATAAATATATTTTATTATTTCTTTTCATTTCCCATAATATGAGTCTTGAAGTGAATGAAAGGACAGGTCATCGAAATTATAATTAAAATATAAATAATATATGATTTAAGAAAAAAAGTATTCATAATATTTATATTCTTATTTTTGTTTAAAATATAACAAAAGTTCATTAATCTATGAAAAGGTCTGTAAGTTAATGATTTGGTTGAAGACTCGCCACCGCAACCACAGCACAGGTAGTCGTCATTATTTGAAAATAATTTGCATTTTTCACATAAAACTAATACAGTTTTGTAATAATTACTTAATAATAAAAAATGTTTCCAACAAATGTGTGTCGACTCTTCAGACACAACAGTTTTTTTTCTTTAAAACAAAATCCTAATCTTAAAGACACTCAATATTATTATTTATTGCTATTATTATTAGTATTATTCAAATTATTTTCTCATTTCATTTTTTCTCATAAAACGTTTAATAAATGATTGAAATCTTTTTGAGAAGTGAGAGGCGTTTTGCGAAAAAAGAGAGAAAACATATATTAACTCTTGATATGAATTGAGAGAAAAAGCTATTTTTAGAGTGAAATTAATTTTTTACGTTAACTTAATTTATAAAATTAATGTATATTTTGCATAATTCAGACCAAAACGCTTATGCTTTGCGCGCAAAAACACAGATTTTAAAAAACAACTCCGTTTTTAAGTAAAAATATAAATAATTTTTGATTAATAGGTATTTTCTTTTGGGAAAAAATAATTCACTTTTTTAATGGCGAAAATAAATTGAGTCAATCAATGAATAATTGATCTCAAATATAATCATAACAACAAAATACAGCGATAAATGTACATAACATGGAAATATTTGGATCAAATGGTATTTTTAAGCATTAATTTCTTATATCTAATTATATATACGGGTATATAAATAGGTGTTTTACAAATCATGTAATGTATATAAAATCTGTACTTTCTTTACGGGTAATACAACAACAAAATCAAAGTTATTTATTTGTGTAAAAATCTCTTTTTTGAAAAACGTGTTTTTACTTAATTAACAATCAATTAAAACAAATCTTTTGGCAAACAATTATTGATACATTGATACCCCAAATACATTATATGTGTTATTAATAGATAGTTTATATTATATTAGAGAGAGAGAGTTTTGGCATTCAATCAGTTAAGGCACGTATGGATCAACTAAAGTGTCATATATTTACAAATTATATTATATTATGTTTATATAAATGAGCTTAAAATGCGAATTCATTATATAATAATAATTAAAACACAACCAAAAAAAGTTATGTGTCTTTAAAAAGCAGTTCAGAACTTGTTTTTTTAAACTCTTTCTTTCAGATGTGATAACATATCGAAACAAAACGGAGAAAATATTGTGAAGAAAAAGATATCGGTTTACAAAAAATACAAATAATTATCCTTTCATGTGATTGTGATTTGATAAGAGGTATTATAAAACAAATGTTATAAACATTCAAACGCTATACAAATATCCACTGTATATATAAATATCAAAGTTTTTGATCCGAAAAAAATTTTATAATACATTTTTATAACTCGTTCACAAAAGTTTTCTTTCTCTTTAACTAAAAACTACGGATACTTTTTTAGTACATTTAAATCCGTAATGAAAATTATGGTTACAACAGATGTTGTATTACTAATACAATAAAACAAGTTCTGAATAAAACTTTTCTTTCTTGTGTTTGCGTTGAATTGGGAAAAAAGTCAATAAAATTAAAAAATATAATAACAGAGGGGAAGAAAGGAGACAGAAAATGAAAATGAAAAACAACGATATAAAACATTTATATATATATAAAAACATAATAGGAATTAAAACATGTGTTTTATAGCTGATAGGATGAATGATCGTAACTGCTTTCAGCCCATAATCCGTAGTCTATTTCAGGATATGCCTGACACGGCATCAGCGGGTTGTGAGGGGAGGCGTGGAAAAAGACATTTGGCTGAACCGCGTGGACATCCAGTTGTGTTTTGCACAATACGTTCCCTAAACTCGAACTCTTTCTGATGTTTTCTAATTGGGCTGCAAATGAAGAACAAGAGAAGAGAATGAAGAATAAGAAATTTGATGTTATTTTGGTGTTTCCTCTCATTTGAATACAACTATATATTGTTCTCAAACGGCGCTTAAATAGCGGGCATTTAGGATATGTTTTTGCTCTTTTTTGCGCCCAAAAACAAGACAATTAGGTGTAGAAAACAAAGTGGGCGACCGTTTTATTTTACACATTACGTGTTCATTCATTGCGAAATGTATGGCATAAACACATACCTGGACTAAATGATCCTGGCTGATAGCCATGCTCGAAGTAAAATCGGTCACCAAATTTAAAGTGATAAAATTGAATGCCATTAATGCAGGCAAATGTGGGCCCGAATGCGGCGTCAGATATACGCCTTTCGGACACTCCGCCCACGAATAAGTCGATGTCTCGCCAATGCCTGCGAATGAATAGGTGTCACAATAGGTGTCAATAATCAAGATTAACAGGACTTCAATCAATCACTTACTTGTAGAGAGACTGAAGTTTTCTCAATTGTTTTTTCGGTACAAAAGTCATTAAATCGTTCCAAGACTTCACTTTAAAACTGTGCATAAAATTGTCTTAAATTAGTTTCATTTATTTTGTTGTTTTCTAATTTCATATTTTGTTTCTTATTTAATTTTTGTTGTAATTTTCTAAATGTTTAAAAATAGTTTTTAATACCCAAAGCAGTAGTCGAGATAATATATATAACCGGGCACTCCGTGATCAAAAGACAATTAGGTGTAGAAAACAAAGTGGGCGACCGTTTTATTTTACACATTACGTGTTCATTCATTGCGAAATGTATGGCATAAACACATACCTGGACTAAATGATCCTGGCTGATAGCCATGCTCAAAGTAAAATCGGTCACCAAATTTAAAGTGATAAAATTGAATGCCATTAATGCAGGCAAATGTGGGCCCGAATGCGGCGTCGGATATACGCCTTTCGGACACTCCGCCCACGAATAAGTCGATGTCTCGCCAATGCCTGCGAATGAATAGGTGTCACAATTGGTGTCAATATTAGAGATTAACAGGACTTCAATCAATCACTTACTTGTAGAGAGACTGAAGTTTTCTCAATTGTTTTTTCGGTACGAAAGTCATTAAGTCGTTCCAAGACTTCACTTTAAAACTGTGCATAAAATTGTCTTAAATTAGTTTCATTTATTTTGTTGTTGTTTTTTAAATAATAATTTTTGTGTTTGTTTTCTAATTTCATATTTTGTTTCTTATTTAATTTTTGTTGTAATTTTCTAAATGTTTAAAAATAGTTTTTAATACCCAAAGCAGTAGTCGAGATAATATATATAACCGGGCACTCCGTGATCACGACCTCGTTGTATATTAAACGCCGGCAAATCTCTGCCAAAGTTTTCAGTTCGGAGTTTATAGAGAAAGTTCTTGACGTCACCCGTGAAGAAGGGATCCGATGATGCCGTCGGGTCTGATATCAAACCCTTTAGTATACCTCCAGCCTATTGGGGGAGAAATCTATTACATATTAACTCATTTCTATAAATAAAAGCACATTAAAAACAGAGGAGAAATTGAGATTAAAAATGCAAATTTAAAAAAAATCATTAAAACGAGAACATAAATAAGGAGAGAGAGAAATACGGATTTAAGGCATAAGAATAAGTAGAAAATAAAAACAAGAAAAAGTAAAATAAAAAGTCAGAAAACGTGACTAAATATCTGTTTTAAACTCATTTGACTGAAACTGACTACAAAATTCTCTATAAACTCCGAACTGAAAACTTTGGCAGAGAGAGAGAGAGAGAGAGAGAGAGAGAGAGAGAGAGAAGGCATGAATACTCACGTGACCCAAACTAACAGCCGTCGGCTCAAAGAAATTCTCTCTCAATAGGAAAGAGTAAGACCTGTCGCCCATCAAGACTTTGAAGAGATCGTTAATCTGCGAGTGACCGAAACGACCCGCGGCTACGATATACTCCTGAATTGTGGACGGATTGGTCGTCGGGTCGTATGTACTGTAACCCGAGTATTGGACGTCGAGATCGAAATGTTTTGTCAGTGTTTTACCCATAATTGCGGGCAAATATTCGCTATAAATAATAGCCGTCTCCTCGGCTATCAATAGTCTCCTACAAAATAAATACACCAATAAATGAGTGAATCGATTAAAAATATGGGCACAAAATTGGGTGATAAAAGTCTTTATAAATTTATGATAATTACTTTTTTTTGGGAAAATAGTGTAATGTTTTAAAGAGGGCTTTTTGGGTTGTATTTATAGATTTTATTAGTATTTATAATTTAATAATAAATTGATTTGATTTTTTAATGGCATTTAATGTCTGGTTTATTGAAAGTATTGCTCAAAGAAGGCATCGCTCGGAGGAATATTCGGCGCTTAAAAGCATTTTTCATAGATATTAATAATGAATGCAATTTCAATTGAATTCAAAATCGGATTTATTTTTAAATAGAAAAAAATTGCGAAAAAAGTGATGCTTTTTGATAAGAAAATAGAGGTTTTAATTGGGAAACTATCGGCGTATCAGTTAAATAGTGTCATATCTTTTCAAAAACGCTTTTAAGTCTATTTGAGTCCAAATCTAATCGTTTCATTTCATAATGAAAAGCATTTTCTGATACATAATTATCGCAAAAAGGTGTTAATGACTTTTTTGTCATAAAAATATTTGGCTTAAAACTGCGAGTATTGTTAAAAATAATATTTGAGACAAAGTGTGTCAGACATACCGGGCCTCTTGGAAAACGCGTTCGTCATTCCAGTGGGGGTTAGCGGCGGCCAAACCGTCCGCGTGTTGGTTATGACGGCGAGTGAAGGCCACGTGTAGGGACTGGAGGGCCGGGTGTTGTGACGCTCGGATACCGTCGCCGCTCTGGAAGCACCGGAATCTCGGCGGAGCCGGTCTTACGTTACACGACTCGTCCACTGTATTCTGTGCCGGCGGTAGTGTTTCCCGTTGTCGGGCGTCCAACATAACCGATAGACGACCTGTTTGTTTGTTTGTTGTGTTTTTTGTAGTCAGTTTCAGTCAAATGAGTTTAAAACAGATATTTAGTCACGTTTTCTGACTTTTTATTTTACTTTTTCTTGTTTTTATTTTCTACTTATTCTTATGCCTTAAATCCGTATTTCTCTCTCATTTGTAGTCAGTTTCAGTCAAATGAGTTTAAAACAGATATTTAGTCACGTTTTCTGACTTTTTATTTTACTTTTTCTTGTTTTTATTTTCTACTTATTCTTATGCCTTAAATCCGTATTTCTCTCTCATTTTACTTTTTTGTTATTATTTTGGGTTTTATTTTTGCGAAATTTGTTACTATGAATGTGGAAAATATAAAGAAAATTTCCCAAAAGAGATAACATTTCAGTGATGTCTAAATTCATTCTACAATAATTACTTTTATTTGAAATTATGTATTAACTTAAGTGATATTTATGTAATTATTGTTTCCTATCGTTAGGAATCATATTTATTATGTATATTACATTACATTATTATTTATATTACTATTTCATAATAACATTATTTAGTTAAAGTTATTTGAGTGACAAAACATACTCTTCCGGATTATAAGCAAATCAAATGTAATAAAAACATTTCATTTTGTTGTTTATATGCCATATAATTAATAAAATAATGATTATATCGATTTGTATTATAGAAATTCAATCACAAATAAGAAGCTATTTTTAAAATACTAATGAAATAAAGATATTATATTTTACATGACTTTAAAACAAATGCCAATCTTTTAGAGACAATACTCGATATAAATAATTAAATGTATTTAATATATAACTTGAAGTCAGTTATAATAAAACTTTTATAAATCTTCAGACAAGAGTGATGTCTAACTGTAAGCCTCATTAGAGTCTCTATTCAAACAATAAATACAATATAAATCTTAACCCCGATTCACAAACCAAACGATAAAAACAATTAATTAACGATTGAATTTTGTAATACTTATCAGAAAGTGCTGCTTATAATCGGATCTCAATTAAAATCTTTTAAATCATCCGATTATTTGAATTATAAATAAATGTATATTTGGATGCATTCTCTCAACGATAAGGCTTTAATATGAGCCCAAAAATCGGTCACAATATACCATTTAAAACACCCATTCATACATGTATTCTGTTATTACGTTAAATTTTTATTTAATTACAAAATATTAAATCATTTTTATCATTACACAACTTTGAATTACACTGTCTTATAGTATAGTTTTGATCGATTGGTTTATTGCTTCAATTGTGAGCTGTTTTATTAATTTGGTCTTCAATTCAATGAATTCACTGAAACAAATCCTAATTGAATATTTCATTAGCAATCATATGATACTAATTTATTTTTAAGATTATTTATAAGTAATTATATCATAATTTTATTTAAATTTAAACATTACAAAATATTTTCATATTATTAATATATTTAAGAGATTTACATTTCTTGGAGTATATCTGTAACTAAATGCTAATTGAAATAATAATAATAATAATAATAAAGTGCATATAAATCACGAAATGTCGACAACAGATATAAATGACATGTTAGACCAGATTTACTTATAGGCGGTCCTGTTATGTGAGGGTAAGAGGACTGCCGTCGCATAACTTCGGTGTCGATTACGTGATGGCGAACAACAGCATCGGATGACTGACCAAAAGCCCACCAAAAACAGTAGAACCAAAACAACCACTTCCGCGACCAATAGCCCTACTGTTGAGACAATTTGGACAAAAATGTTAGATTTATAAGTTATGTTTCAATGAAAAAGAGTTAACCACAGTTCAGTTGCTTTAGAAATTAAGTCAATTAGCCTCTAGTGATTGGGCACCCATACAATTCACTTATATGATAAAATTAACCGTGTTAATAATAATTAATAAACTTAACATTTGTCATGAATAAAATCGGGGATAACATGTTTTATAAAGAATTGTGGTTAAAAATGTAGTGCAAAATGTAATGTCATACTTGGCTGACACAGGAATGTGCCGACAATACCATCAAAGAGACTGCACTCGTCGGCAGAGGTGTCCAACACTTTGACAGTCTTGAGGACAGCGCCAAACACTTTGTTGAAAGTGCCGGCCGTATAATCGCCACAATTAGTGCTCACCGATTGTGTCACACAGTCTCGTAAGTGAGTGAAAGCGCAACAATAGCCGTATTGTTTGTAGTCTTTGTGGAGTTCAATCTCCGACGCCTTCAGCTCATCGGTGAAAATGATGCCACATTTGAGGGCTCCGGGAATCGATTTGGCCATACATATAGTGTCCGACACGCCGTCCACCAAATCACCAATGACTCCCCCGCGAGCCAACCCTATCAACGCTACCACTATGAACCACTTGACCATATTTTGATGGTTTTGTTACACTCTTTTCGCGTACAGTACTGTTGTTTCGGTTCAGACTGACATTCAATGTTCAATTGAGATCTTTATGAAATGTTATATCAATACTGAATCACTTCCTTTCCATTAAACTACACGAATGATTGGTTCAGTAATCAATACACACATCAATACAATATAGTATTACAACTGCAAATGTAAACGTAATTTTACGTAAAATAGTTGATGAGATTAAGAGATAACTTTAGGAGAGCACCGCTAACGCCAGACCACGTGTGACTCATCGATGAAATGCAAACACATTATGTGACCACTTATTAGGGATTTTTAAGTGAAGACAAAAAAATTATTTCAATTACTTCAACAACTAATGAATTACGAGCT